CGACAAGACGAGCAGAAGAGAATGGGGGGTAAATACATTCGTTACTTGACGGCGCAGTGCTGGTACCCTGGAACGTGGTGCTGAATTTGGTGGTGGGCGTCATCCTTCCCGTACGCTTCGAGGATTTCAAGGGTTTCTTGGATGAGCTCTTTGGTCATGCCGTCGCCGGTGCCAAGGCGTTTGTCCTTGAGTAAATTGCACAGCGGCAAGATCGTTCGATAGTATTCACTCAACGCTTCTCCAACGCCTACAAGTTGCCGCTCAGCACCGACAATATTTTATCCATTCCGCCGACGCACATCGTACCCTCGCACACAGCCAACTGCTGGACGACCAACAGCACGCGGTGGACGACTTCTTTGTCTCGCTTGTTAAGAGCCGCCTTGACGTGCGACATCACGGGGGGCAGCGACTTGAGCACCCGAGAATCGGCCATGCCATGCTCCAGCAGCTCCATCGTTGCTTTGAAAGCAAACGACGGATAGGGCTCGAGTGTTTCCTAGGTCAGAGTTCGGTTCGTCATCCGGCAAGGCCAGCTAGGGCGATGTAGGAATGAGATCGCACCTGGAGTCCAGAGCAACAAATTGGGAGAATGTGGGTGTAATCGAGCGCTTCAAGCGGGGTTGTCCACACAATGTTGCGGTCTCCGTTTTGAGTCTATCGTACACATCCCACAAGAATTGAATTTCAGAGCAGAGAATTGGTATTGTTGGAGTAGAGCAAAGCGCGATGGGAATACAATGCGGATATTCCATCGAGCACCCCCACGCCGATTGCATCTGTGTATGTACCTCGATGGACATCGGGAGCTCCTCCTGATCAAAGTACCGGCGGAACTCGGACTTGTCTTTCGCTTTGGCCTTGCTCCGGCCTGACGAAGACGTCGGCCGAGCGGTCATGGGGGTCGCCGGGTCATCCAGCGACAACACGTCACAGTTCAACGGACCATCGGCGGCCTCCTTGTGTCGACTCATTCTTTCTCGAGTTGTTCACCTTCTGAGACTAAAATACACTCCAACTGCCAAGTTCACCTGAAACGGCGCTCTACCACCACTTACAACGTGCAATCACACGTGCGTTAATGCAATGGTGGGTAAGGACTGTGCCGTGCACTCGTTTCAAGCCATGTCGTGTGAAATAGGAGGGCCGTAGTTTCGTATGTGCGCGCAAGTGTGATCGAAGCACGAGGCATCACGTTCCTTTCCGACCCCAAACAACAACTCTCTTTCTGGCATGAATGATCCGACAGAGCGTGCTGATGCGAGGCATCCATGGCTAAGGCTCCATGTGACGTAGACACATCGGCCAATGTTGTAAGTCCTGAGATCATAACTCTTGTTCGTTCAACCTAACGACACAGCGGGGCAGATGCGCACGCATTCGACTTGTTCTCTAATCACCACAACGGCGTGGCAGGCACGCGTCTGGCGTAGAGACATGTGCCGTAGCCCGCTGCCTTACCTCACTCTACCCATTGCCATGCTGGTCGTGCGTCAAAGTCGTGGACTGCCAATTGTCTCATTCTATAAAAATGTTTCAATTTAATTT